TGCATCGCTTCTAGTAACAAGTGCCTTACTAGTAGTAACAAGAAGCTTGAAACCATGACACGCGAGTCACACCGGTTCTGGCCTCGCTCGGCACCGAGTCCCAGCCGAGGGACCTTTCCAAACCACTCCTGGAATCGGCCATGGCATCGGCGTTTGCGACAAAGATTCGGAGAGGTGATGCTTCTGCTCCTAGTAGCTTCTTGTTCCTAGTAGTAAGGCCAGGAGCCCCTAGTAGCGTCCTTGCTCCTAGTAGCGATGCCCTTTGCTCCTAGTAGCTTCTTTTCAGGTGAGTTTTCTTTCATCGAAAAGCCGTTTGCATCATTTGGAGACGAAGGCGAGTCCTAAACTCCTAAACTTGGAGAGTTCCCGATCTCTATCCGAGGCGCATAGCATAGCCGGCATAGCCAGCCCTTTGTCTGATGCGTAGGAGAAGCTTTAGGCTCTGAAAGAAGACACCAATCGATGCAACACACACACATACGTTGAAGAGACCAACATGTCCCAAGCACAAAAAGAGAGGAGAGAAACAAAAAGGTCTAAGAGTCTAAAGGTCTCAAGAAAGGAAGCAAATAACCACAATAAATAGTGCGAGCGCTTCTTCAAGGAAGCTCCCCGGGCCTTCCTGCTAGTGGCCTACTGACTAGCTGCCAGTAGCTACCATATTCTTATTTACTTGGCTATACTTGTTAGCCTACTCTCATGGCCTAACCCCCCTTCCCAGCGACATCCGGTCTCCCACACACGGTCTCCCACGTCCTCCATGGTCTCCCAGCTGCGACCGCTGAGGATCACCACGGTGTTCCGACTATCTGCACCTTGAGGGGTCCACGAGGTTTTCACCGTTCCAACCAGCAACCCGATAGCCGCCTGGAAGAACCCAAGTTCCGGTTCCGGGCTTAAACGTTCAAGGTTTCTTCAGGTTCCGGGTTTTCAACGGAATTGGGGACAAGCAAGCACCACAAGCACCACTAGCACCACTGCAAATACCTGGTTCCTTCATCGATGACCGCTTCGGCCGGTGACCTTTCGGTTGGACCTTTCGGTTGGACCTCTCAGCGCCAAGCTCAATGACTGCAAGCAATCCATGACGTGCTCGTTGGGAGCTGATCCTGGCACTCGGAATCAAGGAGTACACGAAATGCGAAGGATCCCTCAAGAAACTGGGAAAACATACATAACCCTAAGCAAAACCAGGTGAACCCCTATCACCTGTTTTCCTGAGATAATTGTTGTTTGTTCTTTTTTTTTCTCAGGTTGCGCTATCATTGGCTCACCCGACAACACCACCGCTGCCTCGACTGGCGAGGTCTGCCAATGCGCTGGTGTGCGCCGTGTATCTCCGGTGCAAGTGCCTGTGCCATTCGGCCGGTCAGATGAGATCAAATGCCAATCTCTTAGAGATTCCAAGGTTGAGAACCCTTCTTCGTGTTCTAGGAGGTGCAGGTAATACCATCAGTCCATTCTGGTGGCTATTGGTCAACTATATGAGATTTATCAGTGGTGATCTCATTTGCTATAGTTTTTCAGTTTTCGTTTCTCTTTTCACTCGTCATGCCACATCCAATCACCACCACAACCATCGCGATCCGGCGCTGTTTCCCTGGCCTCTTGTCCGTGGCCAAAGTCCCCTCGTTGTCGAAGCACAGCACACGGTTTCGCGCGTGCCGGAAAGCCTGGAGTACTGCCTCGGCAGGCTTCGGCTCCGGACCAGCTTCGGCGGGTTCGCACCAAGTCGACCCTGCGAGTGGCAGGTCGACCTGTCGTCTGCCATGACCGGATCTTATGACCGGCTTCGCTTCGAGCTTCGCCATTTCAAGCACCAAGAGGGACGGAGACAGACACCTCTATTTTGGGAGAACCAACACCTGAAAACTAGCACCGCCAGCACCAAAAGCAAAACTAAGACAAGCTAGACAAGCGACGAAGCATGAGTCTTCAACAGGCAGTCTGAGTCTTCCACGGACGTCTGAACCGTTCGGGTCTCCGGGCGTTGATGGGGAGCTTTTGGAAGTTGGAACCGATCTGGGATCGCTCGGGCCACTGCGCAGAAAAGCAGAAAAGAGCTTTTGTTCTTTCGGAATAGCAGAAGAGCCTGTCTTTTCTTATGCGTCCTCGTTCCGTTCGTAGCAATGCCAGGAGCGCCCCTAGTAGCTTCTTGTTCTGTTCGTAGCGATGCCCTGTTCTTCTGTTCGTCGCTTCTTGGACCAATGACCCGTACACGGTTCATGAGTGCAAAGGCAATTCTTGTGTTGCTTCTGCTCCTAGTAGCTTCTTGTTCCTAGTAGTAAGGCCAGGAGCCCCTAGCTAGTAGCTTCCTTGCTCCTAGTAGCGATGCCCTTTGCTCCTAGCAGCTTGGTCACCGGTTCACCTTTCCAAGGATCCCCGGCACCGGTTGCAGAGTGCTCCGGGCAGTTTCAGGGCTGAGGTGCCCCGACGGCGACCTGCCGCATCTTGGCTCCGAAGCCGATAGATTCCTCGGTGTTATTTCTGCGGACGGGCATTCGGTGGACGAAGAGAAGAAAGGCCATTGAAATTGAAAACAAGGAAAGCTCAGAACAGGTTTTTATACAAAGGTCTGTTTAAACAAAGAAAAGGAAAGGACACCATGAACAAATAGAAACACCTAAGACCTAATTATCAGCAAGCGAAAGGGTGTTGCTGAAACAATCAATGGGCTGCACTTGTCATGCCAACACATGCCTCCACTATCCTCCCAGCAACTACCTCACAGACATGCAACGTGGACCCAGTGTTAGAAAATCTTCCTGAACCCACTCCAGTGTGCTTTCCTGGTCGAAGCTATGTTCTTGAGGAGATCCTTTCACCAGTTAACACCAGTCACCTGGTTTTGACTCAAATGAGGGTCGACCTTGGGCTTTATTCTTGGGTGAGCCTGTCAATGTCCATCCCGATCAGTGAACCAGGCAAAAGACTGGACAATCCATGTGAAACATGTGAAACAGCATTCTCAAAGAAGCTACTAGGAACCAGTGCCTTACTAGTAGTAATTAGTAACAAGTGCCTTACTAGTAGTAACAAGGACGCTAGTAACAAAGAAGCTACTATTTATGCAGATCGATGGATTTTTGACCAATCGATGATCCTCCGCCGGACTTTTCGGACCAAACCAGGTCCGTGGCGACCATCCGAGGCGCCAATCGGACATCGTCCCGCTTCCGGGCTCTCCGGAGGTCCGTAAGGAAGTCCTGGAACCGGGCACCAGGTGGAGTTCGAGAGCTTCCACTAGAACTGATGAGCGTCCGATCGCTCCTAGTAGTACGGCCAGGAGCCCCTAGTAGCGATGCCAGGAGCTTCTAGTAGCTACTTGTTTCTAGTAGCGTCCTTGCCCCCCAGTAGCTCCTTTTTACATGTCTGCTTTGTTTGAGAAAGTCTACACTCCCGATGAGACGATCTTTCAACCATCTCAGGGGTTCATCCGTATTCTTCCGGCCCATCTTTGCCCACCTCGAACCAGCCCATTTGGCACTGTTTCGACACATACTGGAGGTCACACCTGGGGCATGAGGTCAAGGCTTGCAAAGCTGCAGTGCTTGTCGTCTGGTTCATGAACTCACCTACCTGAAGACTCATCTAGAACCTAGAATCTAGATTGCCCAGTTGACTCAAACATCTGGATGGACTGATGGTGGGAAGTGGATGGACTGAACCCCCAACAGTTCGGTCACTTCGTCACCTTCGTCAGTGATTTGTGGCGATGAAAAGCATCCGTGTCCATTCTTCTTCGCCCTCTCCCCTGTATTCACCAGACCAGTTGGTAAAAAGCGACGCAACACCAAAAGGCCCGGCCACTTTTTTCCCATGGAAAGACTGGTTCGGTGACATCGTTGACACCGTGACACCGTTGACCCGGCTGGGCTCTTGCACTGCCAGCGATCTTTCTTCTCCTCATCGGCCTTGACAGCGGCAGAGCGGCCGGTCTTAAGACCACACATTTGAACCTTATTTAATTATTGTTTCTAATAGCAAACATTGCTCCTAGTAGTAAGGCCAGGAGCCCCTAGTAGCGTCCTTGCTCCTAGTAGCGATGCCCTTTGCTCCTAGTAGCTTATTGTTTCTATTTTAATTATTGTTTCTAATAGCTTCTTGTTACTACTAGTAAGGCCCTTGCTCCTAGTAGCGATGCACTTGTTCCTAAATAAAGCTCTTTGAATCTACTAGCGATGGCCAACCTAGTAGCGGGTGACGAGGTACGGTCGTGACCCAGAGTCGACCTACAGTGCAAATCAACCGAGCATTTCTGCTTGGAAATTCAAAAGGCAAAAACTCTCATTCTTGTTCATTCTTATAGAGATGTAAGCCAAAGCGGTTGTCTTTGTTACTCTTTTGGCATACCGAAATATGGTGAATTATATGCAGACCTTGCCTTCCAGCATGCGAGTCATTCAACACCTTCCAACAGAGACCCCCACCTGCTTCTCTTTCCATCTTTCAAACCGAACATCCAAGCGATTTCCCCACCCGGTGTGTCTCCCGGCCATGCTCAGTGCGCGCTCGAAGGAGTTGGACAGCGCCGAGTTGTTCCATGGGTTGATGCGCAAGGAACCCATCAGCCTCGGACGCTGAGGTCCGTGGCGTTGGCGCGAACGAAAAAGGACTTTTCGAAGCAAAAAAAAAGCGAGAACACGTCGTAGTAGAGAGAAAGAGAGAGAGAGAGAGAGAGAAGCATCGTTACAATAACCTCTGCTTCTCACACACATCCCAAACAGCAGAGACTTTTTGCGCGCGAAAGCCAAGACACACTCGGCTGCAGCCCGAAAATTCGCTGACGATGCACACCTTCCAGCGGCGAAACATCTATTTGATGCAGGCACTCCAGGATGACTGAACACTTTCAATCTCCTCCATGCTTTTCGATTGGGAACTTCTTCATGTTCTTGGCGATTGTCGCACTGCCCACCATGGACGTGACAACGTTGGTAATGTTGCAGAAGATTCTTTGACGCTAGCCCTCAACAGGAGCAAATTTGAGCCTCTTCGTGCACTTCAAGAAACACTACAAGAACCATTTCCGTTTTCTAGGGTGTCTTGAGAAGCCACAATATGCTCTGTACTAATTATCCCTTGCCCTTCGATTCATATGTATCATGACCTATTGCTACTAGGTGGGAGGCCATCGCTAGTAGGGTTCAAAGAGCTTCAAGAAGGAATTATTAAGGCCTCCACCACTACTCTCTTCCACCACCTACGCTTTTCGGTGTGCCGTTGCGCCTTGGGGTTCGGTGTGCCATGCTGCGCGGTGATGAACTCGAAGGGCATGAGGTTCAAGCCGTTCTGGCACCGAAGGACTCCGGTGGAGTGCTTGACGGACGTGAAACAACGTCTTCGGCTCCACCGTGAAACAACGGAGAACCAGGAGACCCACCAGTGGACATGGTGAACTGGTCGGTCTGATAGAGTCTTGAAGGAATTCTTTCAAGTTTTGGTCACATCTTGCTGGTTCACCATTCTCACACGAAGTGGTGAGTCGCCAACCTAGCTAAGGCTTCACGTACAACAGTCGAGATACCTTGAGCAGCCCAAAAAGGAGTGTCCGCCTTCACCACAAAACAATCAAGTAGGGTTCACATCTGGGTGGCCTCAAGGAATATTGTTGACCTAAAGAACAAGCAAATCAACATTTGATAAAAAAAGGACACCTCGCAACCTCGAGGTTCAGAGCTGAAAACCTGACCACTGGCCACACCTCATAAAAACTGATCACAACAAACATGTGCAAGCAAGCGCATCAAAATTCATCCAAACACAAAAACATCCTTACCAAATAAAATAAACTCATCCTCACGAAACTCTCACGACACGCTCTTCTCCCAAAAAGCCTTGGCGCTCGTGTCGAGCAGGATGTCAGCCGCTCGGAAGAGGCCCAGCCGGTCGGCTCGCTCAGCCTGGCCGCTTCACGAAATCGACTAACACCAAGGCACGACCCAACACCCGCAAAGTCCGTGTCAAAGGTCTCCCCTTATAGTTTCATCTGCCTTCCCTCAAGTCTTAGTCACAACACCTGCAAAGTCCAAGAGAAGGGTCTCCACTGGTGTTTCCATCTGCTTTCTTTTCTTTCAAAGCTCTCTTTGGGAGACCCCTTCGACGCTCGTCTTCGCCTTGTCCAAGCGCATGAAAATGTGGCATGACTCAGGAGAACCTGCCCCGACGGCTTCGGCTCCGTTGGGCGATGCCAACACTTCTTACTACTAGCGTGGCACTTGTTTCTAATAGCTTCTTGTTACTACTAGTAAGGCACTTGTTACTACTAGCGTGGCACTTGTTCCTAGTAGCTTCTTGTTCCCTGTGCAAGAAGCCAAATGGTTGTTTTTGCAAGCAATATCTGGCACAGCGGTCTTTCAAGACCACAACTGGAGCTCTTTAGCGTCTTTGGATAGCTATCAACGAGGCTCACAGAAAACCTTCACCTGACAACCTGCCAACCTCTGAAAGAGAAGGGACCTTTGGGACCACGTGGGGGACTGGTGCCCACCTTGAGCCTCCCCTGCTGTGGCGCGTTCACCCAAGTAGAAACAGCCAGTGGGCTGGTGCGCCGCGCCTTCGTTCAGTGGCTGGATTTCTAACTTGCCATTGGAGGAGCTCAAGAGAGCATCAGCCTGGCCGCGGGATTGGATGTGAGGTGACAGTGACAGGGGATCTTTTCTACTCGAGTTGCCAAACGACTGGAGGCAATCACCACGCTGTTCCCTTCGTAAACACATTATTCGATTTCGTTTCCATGTGTCCCCCTTGTTCAGGGTGTTCCTCCGTGCTGTGGTCTTTATGTTGCGGGGTGCTTTGGGGGCCAATCCTGGTCCCACAGTGGTCCGTTTCGTTCGGACGCACCGACGATTGGACACCCCGGATGCCTCCTTTCGCAGTCTTGTCATCACAGCCACGTCTGGGCGGACAGGTCTTGGACTTGGTTGGGGAGGAGTTGAGTAAACAATAAGCTACTAGGAACAAAGGGCATCGCTACTAGGAGCAAGAAGCTACTAATAGTAGCTCCTGGCCATACTACTAGTAGCAAGAAGCTACTAGTAGCAATGTATTTGTTGGTGTTTCATCTTCGTCCAGAAACTCCGTTGAGACTGAAGGGGTTCTACCCGTCTCCATCTCGGTTTCACTGTCAGTGTGGTGGCACTGGCAGAACTTGGCAAAGACTTTGCATGGCTCAATGATGCGCTAAGCAAGGGCATGTAGCCGTTTCTTACAGCAAGCTGAAGCATGGGGGTGGAAACTTGAAAGCCCCAAGAGTCATTTCTTCATCTACCCAAAACTCTGAATTTGTCTTCTGAATGCTTTCTGGCTGTGGCCGAACTGAAAGAAAGATCCTTCCAATGCGTTTGCCTTCTCTGCCGCCAACGGATTCGAAGCAGTACCTGGACCGTTGTGGCACTAAAACACTGAGAGCTGCGGCGCTACAGCTGAGCGTCTCCTGACGTCCCACAAAGTCCTTCAACGACCACACTGCGTGACCCGTCTTCGTGGGATCAACCTCAGGATCCGAAGTGGCCATCATCAATGACATATATTGACATATAGTACTCAGTACTCTTCTTAAAGGGGGGAATAACTCAAATCACATCAGACATGCAAATTCTTCACCGGCTAGTACACTAGGGAGGCGGTCGCTTTTAGGTTGGCCATCGCTCGTAGGTTGGATCCACTTCATGTTTTTTCGAACAAAATGAATTGAGACCTCCTGCAACCCAACTCGTCCAGTGGGTCACTGGACCAGTACCACCTTCCCGCTGTGCTCGGGCTTCTCCTTGAGGAACCTCTCCGGCGGTCCATGGCGTGCGTAGAACGGCCGGTTTTTTCCGGAAGGGAACCTTTTGCCACGGAAGCCGACTGGCGAGGTGACACTTCCTCTTAAACCCTTCGGATGGACCCTCCTCTAAAACCCCCCGCACTGGGTCCGAAGGGTTCACCAGATATCCAACAGCTACGCGTAACCAAGGGCATCGCTACGAACGGAGCGATGGGACGTGACGAACGGAAGGGCGCTCCTGGCCGAAAACGCTACTAGTAATCACCACTTCAATCACCTTTTTCCACCCCAAAATCCCTATCCATCGCCAACTGGACTCGTTGTCCGCTTCCCGACCACGTCGACTCAACTCCTCCACTGCCGAGAAGGGCCCCACCGAAACTGCTGCGGAGTCGACCGGGTAGGCTACCTATCGCTCCCAGTAGCTTCTGCGGTCTCGCCTTCCTACAGGAGGCAGCATTGAGCCAAACCTATCGCTTCACTTCTTCAAGCCATGAAGGGGACGAGAAGTGGGGAAGGCACCGCCGGTCCACCGGGCTGCCCGGCTGCTTGAAGGCTTGGAACTTGGGGATCAGTCCCGACAAGCCATCCGCCCGATCCATACCTGGTGGCACGTCGCGTCGAAACAGCCACGATGTTGTCCCCTCTTTGACGGCGCAGTCTGACCGTCGGCATGGGCAAAACCGACGGCAAAACCGACGTGTCACGTCGCAGCGCAGTTCCCGCTGGGCATCCGGGCATGCGAAAATTGTTTTGTCCTTGAAGAGCTCCTTCACCTGCGGAGCTCGCAAATCGCACAGGTGTCGCACATGGCCATGAAACGCGGAACAACGCTTTTTGTCGCCTTTGGTATTTTCCGTTTGGCTCTCGTCTCAGGGTTCAACTCCATCATTGTCTCTCAATTTTTCAATTTGAGTTCGACTCCATCAAAGCCGGAAGTTCTTCACCTCGCGCTGTGCCATCCCAGGCCTTCACTGCCTCGCGCTGCACCTCGTCACTCTCCACCTCCTTGATGGAGGCCTGCAGCACGGCAGGGCGGCCGAAAAACAAGTCCCGTCACGTTCAACGGCCACCCGGCCCAAACGGGCCTGATAGGGGTAGGCGAAGTGAGCCACCTTGCTGCGAACGCGAAGTGGCTCAACGCGCGAACGAAAAATTAATTGAGAAAAGGAAGCAAAAGCAGCAGCTATTGAGATACTTTTCATTGATGAGCAAAAACAGTCAATCACTCTGAAGGAGTGAAGGAAGGGCAAACGCAGAATGTTTGAGAAAAAGCAAACAAACTAGCTCACCACCGCTGCAAATGATGAGGATTTGGCATCATGACTTCTTTCACCAAGCAAGATTGTTGGAGGCAAGTTCATCCCAAGGCTTCGAGTCAGACTGACACCAGAAAAGCTACCACACCCGGCACGGCCCAGTTCAACTTGAGGCGTAGGTCCAACAAACAATGTCCGAAGCTTGTAGATGCTTCTGTCTTCGAGCTTTTGCACCAAAAAAGCTCCTCCTGAGCCTGGAGGCGAAAAAGAAAGACGTCCAACCACCGACCGCCGACCGATGCCTTGATCATGATGTTGCGTCCGTTCCAATCCAGGCCTTGGGCCGACCCAAAGAGGAGTCGGGCACCAGGTGTGAGAGTTCCGGGTTTTTCTGAAGCGATTTCATTGAATTCTTTTTTACCTTTATTCCTTCCCCCCCCGTTGCTTTGAAGTTGCTACATGTTGTCTCTGAGATCCTACATGGTCAAGCCAAACTTGTTCCAACCCACGCGAAAGTTGGGCAACTCTCCTCCAATCCACTGCCTAGAATCCCAAGGCTGGCCATGCACCCATCCCATGCACTTTCCAAACACCTGGTATCCACCCGGTTGAAGCTCTTGTGATCCGTCCCTTTGCCAAGCAACCCATGAAGCCACCTGTCCGGAAGGAGGGCTCCAGACCATATGTCCGCTTGCCTGCCATCTCCGGAGTCGTCGGCATCTCCGGAGCGAAGGGATTCGGAGCAAGGTGACCGAAGAAAGGAGGGTTGGAAAAGGCCAGAACCATCAAGCCGGTCTGCCCCCCTACCTAGAAGCGATGGCCTCCAACCTACTAGATAGCCTCCAACCTAAAAAAAAGCGACGGACATCGAACCCGGGAGACGGACATACCCATCAGTTTTCAAATGTTTCCCTCAGGACATCCCGTTGAAGAACCATGTGATGTCCTGGACTGCGATATCCTTCAAGACTTGAAGCACCCGAGTGGTCCTGAAGTCTGCCAACCTTTGTGGAGAGAACATTCGGTGGCTTTAAGGAACCCAAGTGTCCAAACGAGCTACTAAGCCACAGCCAGGACCGGACTCTCAGATCTCGACTGCGTTCGTCCCCAGAAGTTCGTCCCCACATCCCCACGTTCCGCGCGTGGAAACCGGGAATCCCGGGCAGCTCACGATGAAGTTCCGCGCGTAGGAGAAAAATTGGAATCCCAGTTGATCCGCACCTCAGGTGACGATGCCCAGCACTTAAGACCGACTTGGAAGGGTGGTTTGGATGTACAGGGACAGCAGGATCCATTCGATAGCCGACGGAGGCACGACATGCAAGTAGAGAGAATGAGACGAGGTCGGAAAGCTGGTTGGTCGATGCTTGAAAGCTGGGGGAGCAAAGACCAGCAAAGGCATCACCGGCTGGGTCTGCCCGGCTCAGCATGCCAGCGAGAATCTCCTGCGCAACGAACGGACGCTGGAATCTCCGTCCGAAAACGACGCAACAGTCCGGGTCTGCAAAGCGAAGTCGACAGGCAAAGTCCTCCCAAACTATGAAACATGACCAAACTATCTTCTTCACCAACTAGTAACAAGAAGCTACTGGCAACTAGGGCATCGCTACTAGTAACAAGGAAGCTACTAGGGGCTCCTGGCATCGCTACTAGTAACAAGGAAGCTACTAGGGGCTCCTGGCATCGCTACTAGTAACAAGAAGCTACTAGAAACTATCTGCTTCACCAACGCCAAACAGTTCTCCTCGCTTGGGAGGATTGTGCCGACTGGGTCGGGTGTGTGGGGGCACGAAGACTACTAGATGCACCCCGTTGACCATGTGTTTAGCCTTGACTTCTTGAGAACCTGAGGCGAATCGAAGACCGCACCAACAACTTCATCCAGCTTCGTCTCCACGACAAAAAACCCTTTGCCTCTCGCCACGGCAATGTCTTGAAGGTGTCTGAGGAGGGGAAGGGGACCTCATTCGCATCCGCCAATCACTATCTCTCTGGAAGAACTCCATAAGGTTTCCTTGTTTCAGGTTTGCACAAAGGAAAATGGCTTACTGCTTTCCTTGTAGCACTGTACGTAGAAAAACGGCCGCCGGTGACGTGTGCTTCTTCTGAGCCGGTGACGTGCAAATAAAAACCGATGTTGGCCTTATGGATCCTCGGAGCACACGAGGCGTTGCCGATGTCGCCTGGGTTCATGTGTCCGGATCCAAAGCCAGGGGCATATAGAGACACAGCTTTCCAGCATCTTCACATGCGAACAAACAGAACATTTATAAAGGTCCAAAAACATGTGGCTTGAGGGCAACAATGCTATTGGATAAAGGTGCAAAAAAAGGTGGTGTCCATCAACGAACGGTCTGATTTTGATGGTCTGCCTCCACTCTCACTTCTATCTGAATCCCTCTGGACCGCTTGTGGCATGTCCTTTCCAACCCACCTGTGTGTCGTCTCGTCCTAAGGTCAGGGGCTTGCGAGCAATGAAGGTCGGCGTCATGAGCATGTGATAGTCCTTCGGCTGTCGAGGAGCCAGAATGAGGTGTTGCTCGTCATGACGCCTTTGCGTGAAAGCTATCGGCAATACATAGCGCAAAGCCTGTTTCAGGGTTTTCACATAGCGCCTGGGCTTCATGTTTTCCAGACTCGAGAATTCCATCTCAGCAAAACTTCTTAGTCTCAGCAAAACTTCTTAGTCCAACGACTCTAACAAACAACGTCGGGCCATTTAAAAATGACGACACAATGCCTTCAAGGGAACAACGAAACACGGAAGTCATGAAGGCGCGGTCAAAACGCGATGCGTGCTCTGTACCAAAATAAACATAGACGGTCGGTTTGGCGTGTGCTTCACAGAGGCAGGTCGTAGCATTCGACGAATGAACACATCTCCATACTCCAAAACGGGCAAAGATGTACAAATGTCTCATAAACACAAAGACAAGAAGGGCAAGAAAGCAAGAAATGCAGACTCACAGGAAGGAGACGCACGGAAGGAGCACCAACGGTCGACTCCTTTCCTCTCTCCCGAACCGCATTCGGACACACCGGTCCTGGATCCAAATCAGATCCGACTCATGGGTGTGCGGCACACACGCCAAGGCCTAAAGGGAACGAGAAACAACCGGCCGAAGAGGAGGTCCTAGCGTCCTATGCTCCTAGTAGTAAGGCACTTGTTACTAGTAGCGATGCACTTGTTCCTAGTAGCTTCTTGCTCCTAGTAGTAAGGCCAGGAGACCCGTTCATAGCGTCCGATCGCTCCGTTCGTAGCGATGCCCTTTGCTCCTAGTTGCGTCCGATCGCTCCTAGGGTGGGTTTTTGGGTCGCTGCGTCCTAGGGGTTTGAAAGTTCGGGGGCTTTCGGATGGACAAGGAGAAGTTGATGGGTCTAATAGCTTCTTGTTACTACTAGTAAGGCACCTGTTACTACTAGCGATGCACCTGTTACTACTAGCGTCCTTCTTTCCCAA